ACTTTTGGGCTCTGAGGCCTGAATATGCGGTATGTATGTATGTATATATATATATATGTCTCAGGCGGGAGCTCCTTCATTATGGGGCCCGCACTTCATGTTGGTAATCCGAGCGGGTCATCCGAAACGTTTAACTGTCGTCACTTTTGGGCTCCTGAGGCCTGAATATGCGGGAACCTCGTCTGAGTGAATTGCGAGGAAGTCTCAGGCGGGAGCCCCTTCCCTATGGGGCCCGCACTTCATGGTGGTAACCCGAGCGGGTCATCCGAAACGTGTAACTGTCGTCACTTTTGGGCTCCTGAGGCCTGAATATGGAGGAAGTATCAGGCGGGAGCCTCGTCTGTGAGTGAATTGCGAGGAAGTCTCAGGCGGGAGCCCCCTCCCTATGGGTCCCGCATTTCATGTTGGTAATCCGAGCGGGTCATCCGAAACGCGTAACTGTCGTCATTTTTGGGCTTCTCAAGCTTGAATTTGGGGGAAGTATCAAGCGGGAGCCTCGTCTGTGAGTGATTTGTGAGGAAGTCTCAGGCGGGAGCCCCCTCCCTATGGGTCCCGCATTTCATGTTGGTAATCCGAGCGGGTCATCCGAAACGTGTAACTGTCGTCACTTTTGGGCCAAAACTTAAGCCTCCAGCGGCCTGCGCGGCGACTCTCCGCCATGATGGGTCCCGCACTTCATGTTGGTAATCCGAGCGGGTCATGGGATTCCTATGGCTTTCGTATTTTTTTAGGCTCCTCAGATCCTGCGGCGTGAAAGCGGGGGAAGGGCTCCTCCTCAGCTCCTGCGGCCAGAAAGCGGGGGAAGTATCAGGCGGGAGCTTCGTCTGTGAGCGAAGTGCGGGTAGCCTCGTCTGAGCTGGTCGTCGGCAAATTCGTTGTTGTCATGGGCCTGCGTGCCCGAAAGGGCGACTGAGGAGCTGACGACGACGACGACGAGACAACGGCCGGGCGCAGAGGTAGCCCCTTGTGTCCAGGCCGGGGGTGGTAACCCATCTTCGGTCGAATCGGGGGCAGGGGTAACCCCTTGTCTCCGGGCCGCCGGTGGTAACCCATCGGCGGCCGAATTGGGCGCAGGGGTAACCCCGTTGCGTCCGGGCTGGGGGTGGTAACCCATCCTCACCCGAATCCGGGGCAGGGGTAGCCCCTTGTCTCCGGGCTGGCGGTGCTCACCCATCCTCGGCCGAATCGGGGGCAGGGGTAACCCCTTGTCTCCGGGCTGGCGGTGGTAACCCATCGTCGGCCGAATCGGGGGCAGGGGTAACCCCTTGCGTCCGGGCTGGCGGTGGTAACCCATCCTCGACCGACTCGGGGGCAGGGGTAGCCCCTTGTCTCCGGGCTGGCGTTGGTAACCCATCGTCGGCCGAATCGGGGGCAGGGGTGGCCCTTTGCGTGCGGGCTTGCGGTGGTAGCCCATCGTCGGCCGCAGAGCTTGGGTTCATGCTGCCTCCCGCCTGAGCGCGGCTGCGCCTCGCTCGAAACCCGCGGGGTTGTCCCATCGGCTTGGCCCGCGGGGCGGTCCCGACCGCCTGCCCCCGCGCCCCAGCGGCCCGTGGGGTTGCCCCAGAGGCTTCGCGAACCAACCGTCGGGGAATGCGCGCGCTGTGGCCGCGGCGGCGACGGCGCCGATGAAAATCGATTTGTTTGCCCCGACCAGGGGGAATGGGAGGGGCGCGCGGCGAAGAAGCAGGGGAAAGACGAGGACGGGGAAGGGGCAGGGAGGGGGTGATGATGAGGAGGAAGTGGAGAAGGAGGAAGAGGATCAATAGAAGGAGGGGGAGTAGGTGAGGGCAAAACGGCGGGCGAGAGGAGAGTGTCCGTCAGGGCAAAAGGAAAAGGGTAAGGGCAAGGTTTAACATATTCTCATGTGGGGTCTTTCCGTCGGAGAAATCTACATATGTATACACACATCTAGCTAGTAGCTTCAGCACCCACCATGAACCCCCCTTTTCTCTTGGAAGATGCAAAGAAAAAAGGGGGGCGGGTGCGGTTGGAGTTTCGGGTGTCGCGTCGTGTTGTGGTGGTTGGATCTGGAGTACTTGTGTGTGTGTTGGAGACGGAGGGAGCCTGTTCAGTATCATGTGTTGTGTTGGAGAAGGAGGCTGTTGAGTACTGGGTGTTGTGTTGGAGACGGAGGGAATTGGGCAGAAGGTGATTTTCAAGTTCAGCTTGGGGAGGGAGCCTGTTGAGTATCGGGTGGTGTGTTGGAGAAGGAGGCTGTTGAGTACTGGGTGGTGTGGTGGAGACGGAGGGAGTTGAGCAGAAGGCTATTTTCAAGTTCAGCTTGGGGAGGGAGCCAGTTGAGTATCGGGTGTTGTGTTGGAGAAGGAGGCTGTTGAGTACTGGGTGTTGTGTTGGAGACGGATGGAGTTGAGTAGAAGGTGATTTTCAATTTCAGCTTGGGGAGGGAGCCTGTTGAGTATCGGGAGTTGTGTTGGAGAAGGAGGCTGTTGAGCATTGGGTGGTGTGGTGGAGACGGAGGGGGTTGAGTAGAAGGTTATTT